GTGCCTGGAAGCTGTGTAGGTTCAGCCCTTCTGCCATCCCAGAGGCCGGGGCTGCTGTGAGCTGATCCTGCTTCTCAGCAAAGATGAGCAGGGACATACATCTTAGCTTTTCTTCCTCCAGTAATTCCGTCAGTCCCTGACCTATCTCTTCAAAACTTTCTTCTGTCTGCGCTGTCAATCACAAATATAAGAATATCAGCATTTTCAAGATAATTCCTCCAGTATGCTCTGATTTACCTTTCTGCCGATGTCCATACATTCAATGTAAAACCTGGGGACTGTATATATATTGATGCTAAAACCGAGAGTAGATGTGATGTGGTTGATGTCGTCAGAAAATGAACCCAGCAGTATTTTTTTGAAGATTTTTTTTTTCTTTTTGGTCTCATATTGCTTTGTTTGGGCCATTTTATTTGCCTTACCGGTCTTTTGTTGCATAGTATGGTTTCCGTTTGGGCGGTTTTATGGGGTTTGTTTTATATGTGTGTATGTGTTTCTCCTGCCTTTTCTTTGTTTTGTTGTTGTTGTCTATTTGGTTGGTCGGTTTTATTCTGTGGGGTTTTTCCCCATGTTTGTTTTTCTAAAGAAGGAAAGGAGGCATGGATATAGAATGGTGTGAAGGTGGGAAGGACTTGGGAGAGGAGATGAAGGAGGGGAACCATGATCAGAATATATGGTAAGAGCATAAAATTCATTTTCAATTAAAAAAAAAGAAAGAAAATTGAAATGGCCCTAGCAAAAAAAAAAAAAAAAAAAAAAAAAGAAAGAAAGAAAAAGAAAAGAAAAACCAGATATATAGATTCATGGAATAGGTAGCTATAGCCACTTAATTAATTTTTGACACATCTGACCAAAAAACATACTTTGGAGTACTGACAGTCTCTTCAACAAATGGTGTTGGAGAAACTGGATATCCATGTACAAGAATGAAACTGGAGATGATTCTGTATCGCTCATGGCCTGTACAAAAATCCCAATGTGAGACCTTCCTTGCTCTGAGGAGGAGAGGGAAGAATGGAGGAGAGGGTTTGAGAGGGGGGGAACTGGGAGCGAGGAGGGGGGCTGTAATCAGAATGTAAAGTGAATAAATAAATCAGTTATAAAAAGAGAAAAAAAATCCCAATGTATCTAATTCCAAACAAACACAAAGCCCTAAAATATTTAAGGAGAACATGTATTGATGTATTGAGATATAAACTTTCTAGTAAGTAGTACCAACAATGGGAATGTGTAAAATCTAAAGCTTCCATACTTCAAAGGAAACAGTTAAGAAAGGGAAGGGGCAGCTTACCGAATGGGAGAAAAAAAGAACTCAAGAAACTAAACACCAAAAACAAAAAACAAACAAACAAAACAAAACAAAACAAACAAAAAAAAACCAACCCAATCAGTCAATGAACTGATAAAATGAGCCATCAGTTCCCAAAAGATGAAGCACAAGTTGCCCATAAGTTCAACATCCTTGATCAACAAGGAAATGAAAATCAAAACTACATTTAGATTCTGCCTTATTCCAATTAGAATGGCCATAATTAAGAAAATAAGTGACAGCAAATTCTAGAAATGAAGAAGGGAAGTTCCATACACTAGCAGTTTGGGTGTAAATTAATCCAGCCACTATGGAAATTAGTCTAGAGGTTCCTCAAGATGTAAAAGTCTATCTGTCTTATAATCCAGCTGTACCATTTATGAAAATGTACCTCAAAAATATTGTGCTAACATGCCACAGAGAAACTTTTACATATCATGTTTGTTCAACACTATTCATAACAGCCAATTTGTGAAGTCTTCCTTAATGTCTATCAGTAGATAAAGAAGGAAATAAAATTTGTACATGTGTACAATGGAGTTTTTATTCAGTCATGAAGAATTAAATTGGGTTGCTTAGTGGGATATGAATGCAAATTGAAATTACCATTTCAAGCAAAATAAATCAAAATCAGAAAAGCAAATATCACATGATTTCATTCATTTTTGGATTCTAAATTTTATGGAGATACTTACACACACACAGACACACATACACACACACGATGAATACAGATGGCAGAAGAATGAGACCAGCGAAGGAGATAGAATAATGGAGGGGAGGTACTGGACAGTGAATATGGTCAAAGTTAATGATATACTTGAAAGAAGCTGTCTGTATGAAAGAGCACTATGTACAATGAATATACATCAATTGAAATGGGGGGGAGACTCAACGGAGGAATGGATACAGAAATTGTGGTACATTTACACAATGGAATACTACTCTGCACTTAAAAACAAGGAAATCATGAAATTTTCAGGCAAATAGTGGGATCTAGAAGAGATCATCCTGAGTGAGGTGTCCCAGAAGCAGAAAGACACTCACGATATATACTCACTTATAAGTGGATACTAGACCTATAAAATAGGATAAACATACTAAAATCTGTACACCTAAAGAAGCTAAACAAGAAGGTAAGATGATCAGTCCTCACTTAGAAAGACAAATGGGATGAACACTGAAAGAAGGAGAAAACAAGAAACAGGACAAGAGCCTACCACACAGGGCTTCTGAAAGACTCTACCTAGCAGTGTATCAAAGCAGATGCTGAGATGCATAATCAAACTTTGGGCAGAGTACAGAGAATTGTATGAAAGAAGGGGGAGTTAGTAAGACCTGGGGAGGACAGGAATGCCACATGGAGCAACAGAACCAAGATATCTGGCCACAGGGGTCTTTTCTGAGACTGATACTCCAACCAAGGTCTATCCATGGATATAACCTAGAACCCTTGCTCAGGTGGAGCTCATGGCAGCCCAGTATCCAAGTGGATGTCCTAGTAAGGGGAAAAGGGACTGTCTCTGACATGAACTCAGTGGCTGGCTCTTTGACACCGCCCCCCCCAAGGGAGGAGCAGCATTGCCAGGCCACAGAGGAGGACGATGCAGCCAGTCCTGAAGAAACCTGACAAGCTAAGGTCAGATGGAAAGGGAGGAGGACCTCCCCTATCAGTGAACTTGGAGAGGAGCATGGGAAGAGGTGAAGGAGGGAGGGTGGGATTAGGAGGGAATGAGGGAGGGGGCTACAGCTGGGATACAAAGCGAATAAAATGTAATTAATATAAAAAATAAAAATGAAATGGGGGGAGAGAAGATAAAAATTGTTCAAAGATGACTTGGAACTCAATCTTCTTCATTTTTTGCCTTCCCAGATGACAGTGATTTGAGCGTGGGCTGATTAACAATTCTAACCTTCTTTATTTATCTCTGGTTCATAAACATTCACTCTTGTGAGGGTTTTAGTAGGTTAATCCATCCAGAACTCGCTATAATAAATGGCACACAATTAGCAGTATATAAATTTATAATTGATTCTTAGGCTCTATTCAAGAAACAATATTTCTAATTGTTCTACCATACTTAGAAGCCGTCATAACTAATGCTCATACTAGGAAGAAGGCACGTGAAGCTAAACTAATTCACTTATCACAGTCTTTGCATATAAACGGTCTTACCATGAACACACACGCTGAATACTTGGCACCCAACCTCCTTAGTGCTTCAACTGACTGTTATTGCTGCTGCCATGGTGTCCATAATTTCTCTTTGCTTCATATATGTTTTCAGAAAGATCAATGTGTATGGAATTGTTTGTCTGCTGGGTTTCAAGAATAAGTTATTAACTTACACATTCTTGACTGGAAAGTCTACAACCACCCTCATTTCAATGATTGCTTTCTCCATTATTTCATCTAATGAGACTAGAATATTTTACACAAAGCTGGATGATGGAAAAACACATAATGTCAGAGAATTATTTTTCCGATGTTAGCTCTTTTTTTATTATATATTTCAGCAAGATAGCAGCATTGGTTGTCTTTCTGATCACAGCCTGCTCCATTATTTGCTGATCCCGTTATTTTTCTCAACAACCGCACCAACTTGCTCCCAGGAATTTATCACCCCATCTTCAAGCCCTTTATGTTACTTGACACATGCCAAAATTTCATGTTGAACTAATCTTCGTTCACAAGCCATTCACAGGAAACACCTGTCGTAGATGTTAGCCAGCATTAAGTATGTCCATACTCCCAAGATGTTACCTGAATTGGAACAAAGCTAGCAATTGTTCCTTAAAACTTTTTCTTCACATTCCAATAATTAAGTTCTCTTTTCAAAAATAATCTTTGTGCAATGGAGCTCCTTAATTTGTTAAATCATGAAATTACCTTCTTGGATAAAACACTGGGAACTTTGCCTCCTTAATATTTTCTCCCCTCCTGGCTTTTGAGGTCCAGATGAAGTGCATATAATCTGTCTGAGATGGTCGAATCTAACTTGGCTTAGGGTTCCTCATAAAATAATGCTGAACTTGGTGTTTCTTATGCGTCTATCCCAGCAATGTAACCCTTGAAAATCTTAGAGAATTCTTCCTTCCCTCCCTTCCTGGAAGCTCTAGAGATTTCCAGCTATCTTACCTCCTAGTTTCTACCCAGCCCAAGCTGAACACAATGACAGGACAATTAAAAAAAAAATGCCCCTTATTAAAATGTTTAAAGTGAGATTTTACAAACTTTTTCCTGGTCTAAAAAATCCATATGCATCACATTTTAAACAATTAATTTATAAGAGTAAAACAATAGAAAAATGTACTTCCCGTATTTTATGTTAACAATGTGTGGTAGCATTCAGCACTACAGTATACTCATTATGTCCTGTGAGGAGCTCAGAGAATAAACCAATAAACCGAACTTACAGTGTCCTCCCGGGGATAGCCTCGTGGGTGGGATCCCTTCTAATAAAGAGCGTGGTGATGGTCATGTTAGTAAGTGTTTCCTGTTTCTACTTAAGACTGTCCTTTGGGTTAGTGTAAAACAGAACCTAGGGAAACAAAAGCTTTAGGAAGCTGATTATATGTTGATATCTATTGAGTTTTTTATTCATTAGAATATTTGACAAAATAGACTTGGTAGATTACTTATAGCACACATTGTTTTGAAAAATGTATTTGTTTTTGCTTTCTCGTTCAGGGACCTCCTGGGTTACAAGGACCACAACAGACTTTTGGTGAATATTTCAACAAGGTATGGCTTCTTTATCCCCACAACTTGTGTACATAGAGATTTTATGTCCTTCCAGTTTTAGAAAGAAGAAAGCATTATTAATTCCTAATGTCTTAGGGCCTTGAGACGAGATCACATGTGCTTGAAGCATCTTCCCATTTGGAACACTATGTTTTCAAATTTAAATTTGAAAACATTTAAATTTGAAAACATTCCTGGACATATTATAAAACAAGGGTTTAGTTCTGTAAATTTTAGAGCGGTAGTTTAAAGTTCGATAATAAAGGGCCACAAGAAATGATTAGCTATCTGAAGCTCTAGGTCACCTCACACTGACAGAGTCACAAGCACATGTCCGCATCCCACAGATTAAGAACGAGAGCCTCAGGGCTGTAGAGAGGGCTTAGAGGTTGAGAGCACTGGCCACTCTTCCAGAGAGCCCAGGTTCAAGTCCCAGCACCCACACAGCAGCTCATAACTGTCTGTAACTCTAGTTCCAGGGGATCTGATGCCCTCACAGACAGACATGCAGGCAGGACACCAATGTACCTATAATAAGAAATAGATAAGTTATTAAAAAATAAAAAAAAAAGAGTCTCCCCGGGGATGGATGGGAACAGCTTGCAACTTCCTTGCTATCTTCTTCACCCCAGCTGGGATAAAGAGTTCTGCCACAGAAGTATCTAAGTGGTAACACTTGCTCCTGCTTATACCTAGGAATGGTGTTGGTAACTGGCTACACAGGACTCAAAGACAGGGATGAATTCACTGATGGCTCATTGTGCAAGAACAACATATGATTCTGATCTGGGGTCATTTTGTCCTTCATTGTCCACAGTGGCACCAACTGGGGCTTTCAGTACCTGTCAGCTCACCATTGACACCTTGTAAGACAGAAAAAGTTAGGCATGGGCCCCTTGTATATTTGCTTTGTTTTCTGTAAATTTCTGTAACCAATATTGCATCTTTGTTCACACATTCCAAGAACCTGTGTTCCAAATCAAGACCTTTTTTTAGGATTTATTTATTTTTCTTGTGTGTATGTGTGTGTGAAAGAGAGAGAGAGAGAGAGAGAGAGAGGCATGTCTGGTTCTCACAGAGCCAAAAGAGGGTGTTACATACCTTGTAACCAGTTTCAGTAACCAGTAGTTGTGAGCCATACAGTATGGATTCTGGGAATTGAACCTGAGTCCCCTACAAGGGCCACAAGTGCTCTTAACCACAGAGATACCCCTCATGTCCCTAGTCCAAGTCTTGAAGATAGCTGTTGCTCAAAAATCCATCATTATTGCTTTCTAAGACAAAATGTTTAAATTAAAATCCCAACCCTTTGTTCATCAAATTAAACTTAGTGTACTGGCCTAGCTAATGTTTAATTGGTAAGTTTAAAATCAAGCATGTAGACTATTTGTTGCTCTTGACAAATTTAAAATCACAATCGTGTCTTGAATCTTTTCATTTGTTTAGGTTGTTCAGGGAGTTCTGTGTTAAGGCGGTTGCAATACCTTGTCTGATTCTTTGTAACTGTCTTTAAAAAATTGCTACTAGCTTTTCTAAAACATTAGCAGTTGGCTAGTTTTTGAAAGGTAAGCTGGAAGTGGATCTACACTGAATCAGTGTAAGGACACTTGTAATGACATACACTGTTATAAAATAGGGCTTACAATAAAAGCTTCAAAATAATGAGAATAAGTTGGCTCGGATGTCACAAGTCAGCTGGAAAAGTTTAAGTGGTGTGCTGTATTACTCTCACCAGCAGTACAAACTGCACCAAGCTGCTACTCCGCTACTTAAATATTTGCTAACCCTTGCAAAACTTTTAAGGCTTGTGTCTTTACAGGTCTCCCAACACTACTTCTGTATGTATTTTTTTTTCTTACCAATGAGTCAGTTCTTCCTTAAATGAAAATATATGGAACCTTTGTATTTCAGAGCCAGAAGCAGAAAATGTTAATTTTTAGACTTTAAGGTTATACTGGCTCTAATGGGAACTGAGCTCAGTAGCTGAGAGGGGAGTTTTGCAAGTTGTGCCCTAGTACCTGGGATTTATCCATTGTCCCTCCTAAAAGATTGGCAGTTACTGCCATCGCTATTACAGAACTGAGCCTCAGTTAGTTTACATGTGCTCCGAACGTGGCTTTGTAGCTAGAAGAGAATAGGGTAAAGAGGAAAAACCATGGCTTGTTTCTCCCCTAAATAATACAATAGAACCGTTTTGACTCAGAAGTGTTTAAATCTATAGTGACGGATGAAAGGTAGGAAACAATTCATTCCGTTTCCTCCTGAGAGGGCATGGGCCTCCTACACTGGGGTTCCATAAGGATCCATAAGGAAACCCACCCCCAGGACACACACTGAATGATATTTTTGTCCTGTGGCCATCTCTTCTTCACAAAGCAAAGGGCCCAATGTGCTGTAGTGAGCAAGATGCATTTTTCTCTTGGCACTGTCCCTGCCACCCTCATCTAGCTTTGGATAGTAAGGTTGTTGCATTTTGCAGTTTGTTGCATTCCTGATGGTCTGGCTATAACAAATGAGCACAGTGGGGGAGGAGCTGGGATTAAATAATGGACCATGTATGGAGACATATAAAGTGACACTCCAAGGTTAAAACAATCTTCCCTTTTAAATTGGCATTGATTTATGGGACGGCGGCGCGGAGCCCTGGACCTCAGCGCACTCTCTGGCACAGCCCAGATTCTGCTGAGCCAGCTACCCACGGGAGGATGAGAAGTACGCTCCTCACACATGGCCCCTCCCTGCTCCAAACTAAGAGACTGGATGGTTCATCCCTCATCCCAGCAGTCTGCACTTGCGCTTCGGTCCTCAAACAGAATTGATTTAGTCCCCTATACATTGCCTGTATCACCCAGAGGAGAAATGCGGACGTAAGAAACCTCTCCCTTCACGACACAAATCAAAAATAGAAGAGAAAAATAAGAACAGAGAGAAATAAGAGCGACTCACTGGAGGATGGAGTCATTAAGAAGATCACGTGTGTTCTCACGTGATCACGTGAGGATGCGAAGATTTAAAAGAGAACAAATTTCCCTCTCTAGCCCAGAAATAATTTTCAGGCAGCTGCTTCCATCCTGTTGGGCTGATTGCAGAGCAGCATCAATGCTGAGCACTCTTCCCTCCCCGGAAGGAAATCCTGCTCTCTGCCCAGCCGAACTGTTCTTCATTGTCTTCACCTCAGGAATGTTAGTAAAAAATGGATAGGCTCCATCCGTTTTTAAAGTAGCGAGCATCCTACATGGATGTAAAGTGCTGTCTATGGAGAGTGAGCCCTGGTGGAATATATGTTTGACATGTTTTTAACGGTCTACACTGAAAATGCACGGGTCCACTGTCTTATACCACCATTAGCCCCTGTCTGAGCCATTGGAGACTGGTGCGATGCCTCCCAGCTCCCCATTCCAGTGTCCACTTTTCCACATAGTTGATCCAAAGCAAATGATGGCAAAATAATCTACTTGCCTTCAGTGTATCAAAGTATAGCTCCACACTCACGTTCACAGGCCAGAGAGGACAGAAAATGGTTGTCTAAAACTAGACATTGAACATCTTCTCAAACACAGAATTAAATCCAACGAAGATGCAAAAAGCAAAGGCTACCTCGGAATAACAGTACTTCTGGGGCCTAAAGAATTAAAAACTAAACTTTAAACCCTAATTTTCTAAGTTAGCTACTTGTTGCTGCGACAAAATACCTGAGAAGAGCGATTTAGGGAAAGAAAGGTTTATTGGGGATCACAGTCTGAGGATACAATCCAGCAGGACAGGTAGCCTCAGCAATGACAGCTTGCGGCAGCAGCTCACACTGCAGCCTGCGAGAGACAAGAGACGAATGCTGGGCTCACTTTCTTTCTTATTTCTATTCAGTCCAGAACCACAGCCCTGTGGAATGGTACCACCCACATTTCAGAGTGGGTCCTCCTACCCAGACTAACCTCTAGATTACTCCCACACAGGCATTCCCAGAGATTAGTTTCCAAATCTCATCCAGTTGACTGTCAAGATTAAATATTCAGTTTCCCCTCTTTTCTTCTTCATGGCCAGGCTCCACTGGATTAAGGGGCTAGTGAGGATTCAGGCACTAATGTGTGAACTTTCGTAATGTGGTTTGACTGTAGAGAAAACTAAAATATTACCTGTGTGCCCCCATCCCTTTTCTGGCTAAAAAAAAAAAAAAAAAAGTTTCTTTGAATGTACCTGAGAAGTTGAAGTTTGAGCCAACTTCTGGTATTTGTTCAATCCTGAAAGGACAGCCCTGTTGGCCCTATGTCATGTTTGAACTTTCTGAAGGTTGACTCATGTGGTGTCACAAATGGAGCAGCCTAAGCTTATACACAGTTACCATCTCTCAGCTCTATAGAATGGTTAAGATGAAGTTGATGGCAAGGCTCATCCCACTGACAGCTCCAGGGAGAAGAGTGTCACATGTCCCTTTCCTTCTGATGGATCTCCATCCATCCCACATGACATCCTTCCTGCATGGATGCCTCTCTCACTCTCTTTATTTATAAAGGCATGGTCACACTAAGGTAATTATATCTTCATCATGGAACTAGTTGTATCTGCCACCAATGTTGTCAAATTCACATTCTGAGATCCTGGGAGTTTGGCTTCTCTGTGTGTAAATGAGTGGAGCAGGTTCACACTCGCAGTCCTCAAGGAATAACTTGTGTTTTCCCATGCCTAGGATAATACAGCATATTTCTAAAAGCATGGGCTTGAGTGGGGGTGATGACTCCCAAGTTCTAGCAGGGAGTTCGTGTCCTTGGTTTTTTCCCTTAGTTTAGCCACAAGAACTTGATAACTGTTTACTCCTTGGTAGCTACAAAAAATAATAATAAATAAAAATAAAACAAAGAATAAGCAAAAAAGAAGAAAGCTACCCCCTTGACCTAACCCATTGATGTCCATGCAAATTGTTTTAACCAGAAATTCTCTCTTCAAAAGAATCAGAATAGCCTGAGAATGGTTCCAAAGTTCTTCATTCCATTTTCCCTTGTAAGGACAAAGGGACACAACTCACACCCAGAATTCTTCAACTGAGCAGGCAAATTAGCAAGTCGCAGGCCATGACTATTAACATTGTATCTCAGAAACTTTTTTTTAAAGAAAGATTTTTTATTATGTATACAGTGTTCTGTCTGGGTGCCAGAAGACGGGGCCAAATCTCATTGCAGATGGTTGGGAGCCATCATGTGGATGCTGGGAATTGAACTCAGGACCTCTCGAAGAACAATCAGTGCTCTTAACCTCTGAGCCATCTCTCCAGCCCTCAGAAACTTTTAATTATGCACAGACAAAAATTATTTGGTTGTTAAATTTATTTGGAAGGCTTTCAAAGAACACTCAAAATGGCACCAAGGTCCTAAGTCACCCTACCACCACCTAAAAAAATTACAGCTCCAGAAGCTAAAGATTTGTATCTTACTGTTCCTATAAAGCTAGTTTATTGTTTGTTGCTGTTAGCTAGGATAAAGGAAGGAAGGGAATATTACATGTCAATGAGTAAATGCTATTGAAGTTCAAACTTAAGACAGCTGTTTGATTAACCCAAAAGTGGAGAATAGCACCAGGAGCTCCTAGGACCAGGGGACTAACTGGATTTCCTAGCCTGGTTGCTGAATAAAAACAAGTATATCATGTTCTGATGGCCTTCTTTGTTTTCTGAACTAAAGCCATTAGAAAATCAAGATTTGGGAATACTGTTAGAACAATATGACTTGTGTCTACACAGGAAATGTTATATCCAAACTATCTTGGCTATGGTTCCCTGGAGCTTGCTGGCATACACATATACCCTCACCAGAGATACTCCATAGTCTATGGTCCAAGCACCTGGAGTATCAAACACCACGTGTAAACACGTGATGTCTTACACAAAAGCAAATTCCAGCATCCCTAAAGATACCCAACCAAAGGCACAGCTAGGGGGTCATGCTGATGTTTTAGGCACAGTGACTGGCACCATGCCAAAATGACCAGTGTTTTCAAAAACTCTCTAAAGTTTATTTATGTGTATGTTAAAGAGGTTAGACTGGATTGCCAACTGAAATTCCAGGATAAGAAAAAAGATGGCAAAGGCAGGCATGGCAGTCTGGACCTGTAATCCCAGTACTGGTAAGGTAAACACAGGAGAATCAGGGGTTTGAGGCCAGGCCTGGCTACATAGTACAAGTAAAGCCACATGAAGTCCACCTCAAAAAGAGGAGGAGGAGGGGAAATGGGAGACTAAGACAATACCAGATTGAAAGGGATGGCTTCTGTAGACAAGACAGATAAGTGTAGATTTCCTATACTAATTCTTCTCTCTGTTGTAAAATAGAATTATTACTCACAAAAACCCTCCAGAATATATTGTGAAGAGAGTCACTGCCATTCTCCTGCTTCTGGATTAACCCGTGTTAAGCTTCTTGTCACTCCTCTGTCTTTTCCTCTCATATGTATGCATGTGTGTGTATTCTCATTTCATCTTTTAATTTGTTGGGCATGAATTGCTTCTAGAATTAGATACATAAGTCTAAAGCTGAGATAGGACGGGACATGACAAGCATATTAAGTTGTGCTCATTTAAACAATGCCTAGACCATGGAGCTAGAGAAGGGTACCCTGGAGGGAGTACTGAGTCATTTAAGCAGAGCCTGGACCAAGTCGTAAGAAAGAGCAATCTCCTACAGTTAGATTGGGAGAGGAAGAGAGAAGCCTGAGACAGAGGTAGATGAAGAAACAGAAGAGGGATCCCAGAGAAAGGTAAGGGCAGCTCAGGTGCACATTGAAGCCAGAACCACAGGTATTCTTTAAAACATGAAAGCACACACTTCCTACAGTGTATGTGCTAAGAACCGGGAAGCTAGAGTCAAAAGGAAGCTTGTCTACAAGACTGTATTACATCAAGGAGCTGGTGAAACATTAAGGCCATTTTGATTTTTTTTTTAAAGTTGTCCAAGAATGGGAAGTAGATCCCTGGGTTATAACACTGTTTTGTGTTGTGTTTGCAGAAGATAGAACATGTAGGTTGGCCAAGGCAAGAGAAATTAGCCAACTCCAGCTACAGCTTACAAAATGAGCCAGTTTCACCTAACAGCAATGATAAGATTCCCTAAGAGGACAGAGTGGTGTGTCTTACAAGGCTCATTGTCTCATAGACAAATTTACTCTAAGACAGACAACATTAAAAAAAAATACAGGTTTATTCATTCAACCACAATAAGAGCAGCCATCATGACATGTAACACAAGATTCCCCCAGAAGCCATGGCAGTGATATTCAGGGATTCCACTTTGGAGAAGACCTGGTTCCATTAGGGGGACCTACCTTGCCTGTAGTTTCGCAGCATGTAATTTCTTTCACAGGAACTGGGGCAGTTGGAACTGCTCAGTGTTCATGCCTGGGAGACTAGCATGAGCCACAAACACGTGCCATTTTCAGTTCTGCAACCTCCACCATGCAGATGGAGTCCTGATTGATCAATGTTTGGTCCTAGACTGAGCCCCAGGATCACCAGACTACAGTTTGGAAGTGTGTGGTTGTAGGCTCCACACAGCTTAGGGGGTGAGGGTTTTCTACATGGAATTTCTAGACCAAATTCGTGGAAAGGTCTTTAATAATGGTCTCTCTCAACACACAGAGGATTCAGTAGTTGAAGCGCTTCTAAGCAATTTGTATTTGCTTTTTCTGTATGATGAGAGGGACAGTCATCTGCCCAAGGTGAGCAGAGTCAAAATAAGGTGAGAAGTATTTGAGAGTAGAAAGAGCAGGAGAAAAAGTGCAACTGAGGTCGGTGAGCACACATACGGAGAAGGAAGTCTCCTGCTCATGGAATTGAGATGTCTCTTCTGGAGAGATCACAGAAAACAAACAAACAAATGAAACAAATGGGGGTCTCCAAGGTTGGAGAGATTTAACTTGTATCTACCAGGATTAAATACCAGAGAATCCACAAAATGTTAAATTTTACTAGCTAAATCTTCAAGACTGAGTCCATTAAAAACGTACTTCTTGGTTGTTGTTTTTACCCAGGGAACTGGTGAGCATGGAGCTAGTGGCCCCAAAGGAGAAAAGGTAATGCTGTGTTGTTGTTGTTGTTGTTGTTGTTGTTCAAAGTAATTAAGTACTTTCACCTCTGGGGTGCAGAAGTCACTGTGAGCAGGAGCCTCACTTGCCTGCTGACCAGCAGCTGGATTCTGCCCCTTGGGGGCATTACTGAGCAGGGGTGGGCTATAAGGGACAGAGGTATATCAAGAGAAACACCGTGTATATACTCACTTAGAAGTGGATATTAGACATATAATATAGGATAATCATCCTAAAATCTGTACACCTAAAAATACTAATCAAAAAGGAGAACCCTAGGTAAGATGATCAGTCCTCACTCAGAAAGCCACATGTGATGGACAGCAGAAGAGGGAGAAAACAGGAAAAAAGGACAGGAGTCTTCCACAGAGGGCCTCTGAAAGACCCTACCCTGCCAAGGTATCAAAGCAGATGCTGAGACTCATAGCCAAACTTTGGGCAGAGTGCAGGGAATCTTAGGAAAGAAGGGGAAGATAGAAAGACCTTAAGGGGACAGGAGCTCCAGAGCAACAGAACCAAAATATCTGGGCACAGGCGTCTTTTCTGAGACTGATACTCCAGCCAAGGACCATGCATGGAGATATCCTAGAACCCCTGCACAGACATAGCCCATGGCAGCTCAGTGTCCAAGTGGGTGTCCTAGTAGTGGGAACAGGGACTGTCTCTGACATGAACTCAGTGTCTGACTCTTTGATCACCTCCCCCTGAGGGGGGGAGCAGCCTTACCAGACCACAGAGGAAGATGGTACAGCCAGTTCTGATGAGACTTGATAGGCTAGGATAAGATGGAAGGGGAGGAGGACCTCCCCTATGAGTGGACTTGGGAAGGGGCATGGGAGGAGATGAGGGAGGGGTCAATAGTTGGGATACAAAGTGAGTAAACTGTGATTAATAAAAAAATTAATTAATTAAAAAAGAAAAGAAATTCTTAATGTTTCACTAAAAAAAAAAAAAGAATGGTCAGGAAATGGCTAAAGATTTATATGACCTGAAGAAAAAAACAGACTATAAAGGAAGGATTGAAGGAGCCAGAGGAGTGAAAGACATCACAAGAAAACCCAGAGAATCAACTAATGTGGGCTCACAGGGGCTCACAGAGACCAGGCAATCGACCAGGGAGCCAGCGTGGGCCTGACCTAGGACCCCTGCATGTATGTTACAATTGTGTGGCTTGGTCTTCTTGTGGGGCTCTTACAGCAGAAGCTGTCTCTAACTTTGTCGCCTGCTTTGGGGCCCCTTTCCTTCCACTGGGTTGCCTCATCCAGCCTTAATAGGAAAGAAAGCAGTCTAGTCTTACTGCAACTTGATTTGTCATTAGTTGTGAAGTTGGTAGATTAACTTTTCTACAGAAAATATCACTCCATTCCAGATTGATTGTAAAACTGTGATGACCTTGGACTGTGAATGTAAACACAGTGAATTGTGGCATGGTCAGAGGAAAAAATTAGAAACTAAACAAAATTCACACTGAATCTACAGACAGGGATATGGAGGTCTGAAAATACTCTGGAGGCAGACAGCCTGTGAGAGCTACTTTCATTCATTCACCCAGTAAAAGCTCTCTTGATTGAGGGCACGAGAGTGTGACACAAATCCGAGAAATATGACTTCTGTGCTTTCTAAATCAGCACAGCCAATCTATTCAAAAGATTATGTATCTCTCACCAGAAAAATATCTCCAAAAGATCACCTCAGTAGGGGCAGTGAGTTCCTTATAGACTAGCCATTCAAAACAAAAATTCTGCAGGATATATAAATAAAACTCCCACCTTCTGCAAAATGATTTTGAAATGATTCTCTAGCAATCCCAGTCACTCCTGTGTCTTGGGTTTTGAACAACACTATTTCCCGTGAAACAGCAGTTCATAAAGGCATACTCTGTCCTCACAAATGCATTGCATTTTAAGTACTTGCTATTGGACTGTAGGGAGTGGCCTCTACAGCTTGCCACACAGGACAGCTGAGTGGAGAAGGGGGATGAGCCTGCTAAAGCATTTAAATGATGATTCATTTCTTGGAACAAAACAGATGGCTTCTGTGTTGCCCTCTTCTTAGCAAACATATGTCATTTAGAAATTCTTAAGACCTTTGCTGATGAGGAATTTGATTCTGTAAGACAGGTGTAGCTCAGACTCCAGGGACCATCCCTACTGCTTGGAATCGTTTCTAATTGCTTCAGAATCTTAAGTGGAGTTAGAAAAAGCCAGTGGCGTATCTGTCTTCCTTCCCAAATAAATGATTTGTCAGAAGAGACTACAGGGAACTTGATGCTGTGCCTGATATCAACTTACCTATGGAAGGGTCGTTTTAAAACTATCATTAATGAAGGAGCATGCCTCAATTCAACACAGAAAGCCCAAGCATAGCCCCTGCGGGAAGAATGAAATCCACCGCGCACACACGCACACATCCACTTCCTCTCTATTCTGGATCAGTCCCTCGGATTTTGAAAAACACTGTGAAGCTGTCAGACCCCTCAGTGAATCTCTTCTCATTCTGGTGGTGTGATCAGGATTCAAACCCCTGCCTGTGTTTAGAAGCACTGGGAGAGGGAACACCAATGCCTGTTCTGAAGCCCCGAGAAAGTGCCTTCGGTTAGGGAAAGAATGAATCTCTGTTACTTAAGAATGTCTGAGCTGATTCTGATGTGCAGTTGGGGCTGGGGACCATGGAGGCCTCGGGAGAGCAAACCTGGGCTATGGTGTTAACTGTCCTGTCCCCTTGGGAAGCCACCTCCTTACCCTATACATCAGGTTCCCATATGTTAAGTGGGCATGTTCACCTACTGGGAGAGTTGATGCGGGGAGTAAAATCTAATGAGGTGAACTTACTTGCAAGCACAGTTTTCAATGCAAATTAGGCTCTCAGTAAACACTTGGCTTTTTCTTCCTTGTTTGCTTTAGACATTCTGCTCCTGAGCTCGCATTTAGCTCTTTTTTGCTATGAGCTGTTACCATCCTTAGTGCCTTGTCTTGTTCTTCTTTGCATGCCTCACCATAATTCTGAAGGGAGGAGACTTGGATTGGATTGTAAAACACAAGATTTAACTAAGGGTAGACTTTAAACACATGAATGATTAATCACTGCTGTATAATATGCCACTTCTCAATACACTCACCAGCAATTTAGAAGTACCAAAATCAGCCTACCATTTGGAAGCCCACATCACCCAGCAGCAACAGTGTGAGCCCTAAGGATGTACAGACAGATCACTGTACATCCTAACAGACACTGTACAGCATAACAGACACATCTGGTGTTGAGAATACTGAGACAGGAGAATCACGGAGGGAATCCAGCTTGGTGTTAATGTCAATGACAACGGAAGTCATTGCAACCACATGAGCAGATTTCCAGTGTAGAAATGATGACTTCTGCTTTGTCACTGTCCTGAGTCTGAAATAATTTGTTTGAGTGCTGTGTGTTTTGCACATTGGTTGATGAGAATGGCTACTGTAGAGACTATGAGATGGAGTGGCAGAGCAAAGACTTCTCCTCACGTTAGGGAAACAAGACAGAGGCTCAAGAGCACCCGCCCTTCTAAACAGCACCAAAATCACCAGGCTAAAAGACGGCCTGCTGATACAGAGCAAATTCACCACTATCTTTCTATAAAGTCACTCTAATACATTGCAAATGTGAATAAGAGCCCATACATGTCTAATATTAGACATAAACATTTGCATAATATCACGTGCAAGACGGGTTCCTAGGGATAGCTAGGCTAAGTCCACCCGGGGGTCGCAGTCCATAGGCTCGGCTGGGTTCCTCTGCCGTACTTCACTGGCATTCCACCTACATCAGGCCAAACACCCGCATGGCATCTTATTCCCCCAGGGGCCTTCTTTCTTCCACCCGTCCTCTACTGTTTTGAACAAATGTGTGTTTATAAGTGATTTCTAGCCCCTTCACTTGCTTTCTACATCTGTTAAATTAAATGAGTCCAATTGTCCGTTTTTTTTTTTATTGGGTATATGAGCACGAACGTGAAGGGTGACATAAAGGTCACTTGAGAGCTTTAGAAACCAACTCTACATTGGTGCCTTAAGTATGCATGCCGCCTCCATCTTCCTACACCGAACACAATTTACCATCTTTAGAAAAACACACACTGCCTCCAGTGTGCTAAAGGACAGCTGGGGATACACAAGATGTATTTTGCTAGGATCAAAACATAAGTCTGGGCTTTTAGAAAGATGGCTCAGCAGTTGAGAACACTTAACTGCTCTTACTAAGGATTCAAGGTTGGTTTCCAGCACCCACGAGGGGCAGCTCACAACTGTCTATAACTCTAATTCCAAAACATCTCAAATCCTCTTCTAGCCTTCTTGGGTACCTGCATACATATGGTCCACACACAGAGATTAAATAAATGTTTAAAGAAATATAACTAGCATGCTCTAAATTTCATAACTGTTAATTCAAAGAACTTATTAATGTTTAAGCTAAAATTCAAAGAAATGTAGAGAAAAGGCTAGGAATGTATAGGTCATAGAGGGACATTACAAAAAAGATGAAGCCAGTCTGCAGATGAACAAACTGTACAACAAACTGCTATAAAGTATACATATCCCTCAGTCTATATTGACTGTCTAAAAGTGCATTGAGCTATTCCTTGTGCAACTGAGCTAGCTGTGAACTGACTGTTTAATTCATGTGGTTTTCTCACACAGGACTTTCACATTACTGGCCAAAGCTTTGAAGCATGAAAAATTAGTGCCAAGGCTTAACACTTTTAACAAAATCAAGATTATATTGAAAACTCAAGAAAGATAGTTACTACAAAAAATGGTCATGGCTACCTATTACAAAGATTTGCCAGAATTGTGAGTTTTGATAGAAATAGATAAATAAACCAAAGTCTTCAGGGCTGCAATAATTTGATGGACTGTCATTTGAACTTTCTCTTACAAACACGTAGTCAATCCTCACACTAAAAACGTTCACTGGAACCTTGCCTGTAACAGACCAAATCTATAGATCACTCCAATGCAGGTCAGTGGCGCTGGGGTAACCTCTTTGCCTCAGTCAATTAGAGTGCTGACCGGAAGTTTCGATGAATGGACAAGGTCACACAGGTCAAATGACAAGTATTACAAATAATACTGAGAGAAGAAAGTTGAATACAAGTTAAATTTCTATGGAATTCATTCTACATCTTCAAAATAATATATTATTTATGATTCTACATATAGAAGTAACATAGAAAATATGGACTGAAAGTTAATTAATGAATTCAAGAGAGTCCTTCACACTGGGATAAGTGTACAAAGGGAAATGTGAAGAATTTCTTCCCTATGTTTTTTAAAAATTTCTTTCATTTTGAGCACTCAACATCAACAGGTTTGACATATTCTATTTTTTTATATCTTTAAAAGTTAAAAAATTAAGAAAGATATAAGCAGAGGTTTAGGTTATCTCCATGCATGGTCCTTGGTTGGAGTATTGGTCTCTGTAAAGAACCCTAGGCCATGGTGTTTTGGCTGTGTTGCTGTCCTTGTGGAGCTCTTGTCCTCTCCAGGTCTTTCTATCTCCCCCTTCTTTCATAAGATTCCCTGCACTCTGCCCAAAGTTTGGCTATGAGTCTCAGCATCTGCTTCAATACCCCTATCAGTAGAATCTTTCAGAGGCCCTCTGTGGCAGGCTCCTGTCCTGTTCCCTGTTTTTTCCTGCTTCCAATGTCTATCCCATTTGCCTTTCTGAATGAAGATTGAGCAAATTCCCTGGGGCCCTCCTCCTTGCTTAGCTTCTTTAGGTGTACATATTTTAGTATGTTTATCCTATATTATATGTCTAATATCTACTTATAAGTGAGCATATACCATGTGTGTCTTTCTGCTTCTGAGATACCTCACTCAGGACAATCTTTTCTAGTTCTCACCATTTGCCTGCAAATTTCATGCTTTCCTTGTTTTTAATTGCTGAGTAGTATTCCATTGTGCAAATGTACCACAATTTCTGTATCCATTCCTCAGTTGAAGGACATCTGGGTTGTTTCCAGATTCTGGCTATTACAAATAAAGCTGCTACAAACATAGTTGAACAAATGTCCTTGTTGTGTACTAGAGCATATTTTGGATATATGTCTAGGAGTGTTATAGCTGGATCTTGAGGAAGCACTATTCCTAATTTTTTGAGAAAGCACCAGATTGATTTCCAAAGTGGTTGTACAAGTTTACATTCCCACTAGCAATGGAGGAGGATTCCCCTTTCTCCACAGCTTCTCCAGCATGTAGCCCATGGCAGCTCAGTCTCCAAGTGGGTTTTCTAGTAAGGGGAGCAGGGGCTGTCTCTGACATGAGCTCAGTGGCCAGCTCTTTGATCACTTTCCCCTGGGCATGCAGCCTTACCAGGCCACAGAGGAAGACAGTGCAACCAGTCCTAATGAGACCTTATAGGCAAGGTTCAGATGGAAGAGGAGGAGGACCTCCCTATCAGTGGACTGAGGGAGGGGCATGGGAGGAGAAGTGGGAGGGAGAGTGGGATTGGGAGGCGATGAGGGAGAGGACTACAGCTGGGATATAAACTAAATAAATTATAATAAATAAATTAATTAATCAATTTTAAAAAGAAAGATATGTACCTATAAGTATAACAGTAAACATTGTTTTTTACAAGAATTCGCTTGAGGTTGGAGGACAATTTGTCAGAGCTGCATGTCATCCAGAGCTATGTTTAATTTAAGAATCAAATTGCTTCTGGGTACAGGGGCACTCTCCTGTAATCCCAGCACTCAGGGAAGCAGAGGCAGATGGATTGCTCTGAGTTAGAGGCCAGCCTGGTCTACAAAGTGAGTTCAGGACAGCCAAGGCTAAACAGAGAAACCCTGTCTCAAAACACCAAAAAACAGGAAAGGAAAGGAAAGGAAAGGAAAGGAAAGGAAAGGAAAGGAAAG